TAGTGTCCTGATGCATCTCATTGATTCCTGATGCGTGCGTGACAAGTGAAAGGCAGAGATTCCTGATGCGGTATCACATGTGAAAGCAGAACTTTGCATTGTCAAGTCTTATCGAGTGTCATGTTCAAGTCCTGATGCATGTCATTGATTGTGGAGCATGTGTGACAAGTGAAAGGCAGAGATTCCTGATGTGGTATCATATGTGAAAGCAGAACTTTGCATTGTTACGTCTTATCAAGTGTCCTGTTCAAGTCCTGATGCATGTCATTAATTATGGAGCATGCATGACAAGTGTCTTGCATGCATGGTCATTGATTCGCAGGGTCACATGTGAAAATTACAGATTCATTTACTGATACATGTAAAAAAACCTTTAAACTCTTTAAACAATCAAACACTCAGCCCATTTTATAAAGCCTTTAAACTCTTTAAACTTAAACAATCAAACACATTAAACACTCAGTCCCTCAAACACGCAAACACTCAAACACTCAGACACTCAAACACTCAAACACTCAAACATTCAAACACTCAAACACTCAAACACTCAAACACCACAATTTTCGTTATGTCTCAAACACCACAATATATGATTTCCGCTCATCTGAATGGTGAAGTTTTCGAATGTGAAGTGTCGGGATACAATTTCAGAAACACGGATGTTACAAGATTTTTAATTTACAGAAGGTCTAATTTTTTACACCTGAAGTCAAGAATAGAAAAAAAAACTGCAACGTGGTCCAGTTGGGCAAATAATATACAAAAACCCCGTATTTTTTGGCGGACCTGATTCATGCAAAATTTTCCCTTTAAAGGTGTGAGACGATGAAGATGTGCGTAACATGTTCCGCAGTCACGAGTATTCTGGGTTCTCAGATATCATGTTATATGTTACGTTACAACAACAACAACTGTCTCAACAACTTGATTCGTCTCAAGTTTTTTGTGATTCTGAAGATGAACACCCTGAAGTCAATGTCGTTGACGAAGAAGAAGAAGCAACTGAAGTCACTGTTGACGGCATGGTGAACAATCTGGAGGATGAAGTTCAACCTGGAAATGTCTATTGTCCACCTCAACACATGACTACTATCGTCTTAGGTGATGATGAACCCTCGACGGATGTTTTCTACAACCCCAACTACACAACAGAGGGGCAACTAAAAGAGGGTGACGAGTTTCGTACGAAAGAACATTGTGTCCGGGCTATCAAACAGTTTCACATGGAGTTGTCAGCCGATTACAGAGTCGATCGGACAAATCCAACGCGGTATGCGATCTATTATCGTAACGAGGATTGGTCGTTCCGATTAACAGCATCTTTCAGGAAGAGAAGCGATTCCTGGAAGATAGGGTCAATGGGTCCGTCCCACAGTTGTATAATCTCGAATCTGATGCAAGACCATCGCAAACTCAACTCTAAATTGATTTGCGATGAGATTCTGTCAGTCGTTAGCGACAACTCGTCTTTGAAGGTGAGTACCATAATTGCACATATGGTACAAAGGTACAACTACACTCCTTCGTACCGAAAAGCCTGGATTTCCAGAACTAAAGCGGTTGAAAGGGTGTTTGGAAATTGGGAGGAGTCGTACAAGGAACTTCCTAAATTCCTGGTGGCCCTTAAACACTACTCTCCAGGAACTGTTGCGATATTGGAGACGATGCCTGCTTGTACACCAGACGGGACTTGTGTTGGTGGAAATGGAATTTTCCACAGAGTCTTTTGGGCATTCGAACCAAGCATCAAAAGGTTTTCATTTTGTAAACCTATAATTCAAATTGACGGAACATGGTTATACAGGAAATATAAGGGCACACTTCTCATGGCTGTGGCACAGGACGGGAACAACAACATTTTTCCAATAGCCTTCGCCATAGTAGAAGGGGAGACTGCTGGGGGTTGGAGTTTTTTCTTAAAAAACCTCCGCTCTTACGTGTCTCCACAACCTAACTTATGTTTGATCTTTGATCGACACCCATCCATCGAGAGTGCATACAACAACCATGACAACGGTTGGCAGGATCCTCCCTCGACCCGCGTCTATTGCATAAGGCATATTGCCCAAAATTTCATGCGGGATATCAAGGACAAGACGCTGCGAAAGAAGGTTGTGAACGCGGGATATGCACTAACTGAACCCACATTCAGATACTACCGTGACGAGATCAGACTGAACAACTCGGACGCATTAAGATGGATTGATAGCATTGATAGGGAGAAATGGACGCGGGCATACAACAATGGGGTGCGATGGGGCCACATGACAACTAACCTCGTAGAGTCAATGAATTCTGTTTTCAAGGGAATCTGAAACCTCCCAATAACTGCCTTGGTAAAGGCAACCTATTTTAGGCTAGGATCACTCTTTGATAGAAGACGTAAGAAGTGGGGTTCGGTATTACAATCGGGTCAGCTGTACATCGATACTTCAATGAAATTCATGAAAGAGGAAGCTGCCAAAGCCAACACACACGTGGTCACAATCTTTGACCGTACAACTGGTTGGTTCAGTGTTGCCGAGTCTATGGATCACAACGAAGGAAGGCCTAGGGGATGTTACCGTGTTGAATTGGATAAGAGCTGGTGTGATTGTGGAAAGTTTCAAGCATTTCGTATGTCGTGCTCTCATGTCATAGCAGCATGTTCCAAGTTGCGCCAGGACCCAACCAACCTTCTTTCTGCAGTTCACCAAGTCATTAGTCTATGCAATGTCTACACATGCAGCTTTCAAGTGGTGGCAAAGGAGGACTATTGGCCTCAATACGAAGGCGAAATTGTTTGGCATAATGACTTGATGCGCAGACAGAAGAAGGGTCGGCCTAACAGCACGCGCATTCGAACTGAGATGGATACCGCAGACAAGCTGGTGAGATTGTGTAGTTCGTGTCGGCAACCAGGACACAATCGTACGAAATATCCTAACGTAGGATCAAGTAGCAGATCATAGTTTCATATGTAACCGTGTCCCGTAAAATTAATATCAAATTTCATTCGATTGATAACGACTTTTATAAGATTAATAGCAATTTTCATTCGAATAATACCAAGTTTCAATCAATTAAAACCATAGTTAACTGACACAACAACAACATGACAACAAAACGTTGCACGAAGGCAACATAAATTAAACAAACATAACAACAACGTAAAGACATAAAACAAAACACTGCACCAAAGCGTCTACGATATCACGACCATCAACTTTATCTTCTTTGGGGTCAACATCATCACAAGGACACCGATATTATTTTCCACTTTTCTCCATTCACGAGTCATTCCGTTTCTCCCGTTCTCCTCGACTAGCCTCTCAATTTTCCTAATCTTTTCTCCTGGACCAATATCTCCTTCTAGCCAGCGGTTCAGTTCCCTGTGCAAGTGCTAAAACGTCTGCGTATTTCAGAGGAGCACCTTCATCGGAGGCTTTGTTGGTGAAAACACAACTAGGGCATTTCTTTTCATTAGATCGAACTTTGGAAAAGGTTCCTCAGATGTTGATGACGACGACGAAGAACGTTGATTTAGAAATGCAGACATTCTAGACTCCACTCAACTCGAACTGCACTAATACTTTAGTCTTTTGGGATATAATGGTGTGAAAACATACATGTGGTTGCAGTCTTATTTATAGTAAAAAAAATAGTACATACCCTATATGATATGACTTAAATAACCCTACAACATTTACATTATTTAAACTTCAATGAACACTCAATTTTTATGTTTTAAAATTAAAAATTAATTTGAGATCAACATAAATTTATTTAATTGGGTCTAAAAATTAATTTGATATTATTTTTATTTAAACCTAATTATTTTAAATTTATTAATTAAAAAATTAATTTTAACATTAAACCTAATTATTTTAAGTTTATTAATTAAGAAATTAATTTAACATTAAAACTAATTATTTTAAATTTATTATTAATAATTATATTTAAAAAATATTAATAATTTAAAATATAAAAAACATAATCATGTTAAATACATTTAAAACATTAATTGAAATTAAAAACATAATTAAAAAACAAAGGAAAACTCAAAACTCTATAAGCTTTGCATGATTCACCAAATGGATGAGCGACATTGTTGCGGCCCATTTTCACTTTGCCTGATTTGCCAATCAGTCTAGCGAATGAGTGTAACTTGGTCCAGATTGAATTTTGTTTATTTCGCCAATTGAAATGGCGAACACCGGTTGAATGTATATCACTTTGGTATTTTTTTTAAACTCTCATTTAATTGATATTATTTTTGAAATACTTTCTTAGTTAAAAAAAAATTCAATGCATGCAGATACAAGAGATGAAAAAATTCAATGCATGCAGATACAAGAGATGAAAACTCTTATTCATTGACGATGAATCTTTATAAGAGTTACCAAAATATCAAAAGAAGGTATTATCTCAATTGCTTAAGATGAACGATCCTTAATTTCTCTTTTTTACCTCTGTCAAATCCACAATGAATTTCATTATAAGATTTAATCTATAAATATTGAATTCTCTCCCTATGATTCCTAACTACTCAAGTTGTTTACTTTGTGTTTCTCAAATCTAAAATCATCTCGAACTCCAAAACCGTTGTTTCACAATTTTCACAAGTTTCAAAGTGGCTCTATAAAACTACTTTTTTAAATAAAGATAACATGATTTGGTTCAATTAATGTTAAAGATTAAAAAACAAGATTTGAATCCACCTCTTCCGAAAAAGAAACAAAAATGAAATTTGATAACATGATTCAAATTACCCTTTAAAAGCATATTCATATCAAATACCAACTATAAATCATTTTAAAATGGATTGAAACCATTGAGAGAAAAAAAAATGAAATAGTAAAACTACCCATCATTAAGCATATTCACCAAATTTTCAGCCCAAAGCTAGTTCATCATTGAAATCACATATACAAAATTACATGCTCATCATGTTTACAAATTTAGCAGCCTCAAATAAATACAATAAATCTAGTAAAAAAAATTATACATTCCCAGTGAGACTATGATGATTTAGCCGTCAGAAGAACCGCACGAGTATGAGTCCTCTCAAGTATTCCTTCCATAATAATTTTCTTCTTATACCGAAGAGAGTCAAAATCACTCTCTCTATATAATGAAACCTCCTTGCATTCTCTTCTCTGTTTAGAAGGCACAATATACAACCAAATTGAAGTACATAATATAGCAAAAAGTTTACCCCACAAAATCAAAACAAATAGACTAAAAATCCAAACAATACATAATGCTATGTTTCTTTTCCTCTTTTCTTCATCAATATTATCAATATTATTTTTCTTTGGTACCCCATTAGTTCCATTTAATGGAGGTGGTTTTGGTATGATATTAGTTTCATGAGAGGGAGTGTTTGATGCATAATCGGTGTTTGATGAAGTGGTTGAACCCTGAGATTGCAAGGAGGAGAAAATTTCAGATAAGTTAGCAATATCTGAAGAAGTGTTAGAAATATTCACTTCTTGCGGAGTCTCGGGAGCGTCGAAAGTTGTGTCCGATTTTGATCTGGTGATAGAACTCTTTTTTGTTTTCCTTCTACTCTGAATTCTTTTCATCTGATATAAAATCATAATTTGATTAAATTGTGCATATAAAAAAAAACTAGTAGATTATATTTAATTTATACAATTTAAATACCAATGATGTTTCATGAAGCGCCATCTTGAGGGAATGCCACGTGTCGCTTCCTCCCTTTCGCCGGCGATTTCCGCATTCCTCCATTGCCGTCGTTGAAATCAAAACCATGCCGTCGGCATCCGCGGCCGCAAGATACGCGAGAACAGGATCGGTGACGATGGTGGCGTTGCGGTATCTTCTTCTCGAAGGTTTGAAATCGTCGTCTTCATCGACGACGGTTTTGAAACACCTAAATAACCATTTTCTGTATTTACCTTTGTTCATTTGCATCGACTCCATGTTATAACACTTATATGTTTGAATTTCCACCAAGAATAATCAAAATCAACGAAATAGGGTTTAGGGAAACAAAATCTCTCACGTGGAACCGTGAAGGTTTTTGTTTTTAACGAGAGAGATTTTGTGGGTTGGTTATGTCTCGCTGTACGATGATGTTTGTTAGAATTGCTGTTTGGAAATTGACCCCAAAAAGAGTGATGCATGCATGGAAGTTAAAAACGGTAAATTATAATAATGCGTCCCTAGAAACATGGATTTTACAGGTTTTCTAAACCACCGAATTGAATTGAACAGTTGTGCCTATCTGTTAATTTATTTATTTATTATCTTTACCATTTTTCAAATGATTTAGTTAGACATCAAGAATTGGTATATTATTAATTTTTAAAATAATATTATCATTTATAATCGAATTCATAAATTTGCGTGTTCAAATATCACAAGTCGCTCAAAATTTAATTTTAGAAAATTTCTCAACCATTACTTATAGTATTTGATACTCAAATTATTTAAACTACTTTTAAACATTCAAGAGAACATCATCTCAAATGTAATTTTTCTTTTATGAAACACTTGAACTCTATACTTCTCATTATTGTTTTATAACATATTTTTGAATATTCAATTATCAAAAATTATATAAAACTAATAAATAAATAAAATAGATTATTTATTGTCATACTATTTGTTCTAGATTGCTTCCCGACTATTTTGGGTCAATTTCATCGACCCCGCTCAACCATCAGGAAGGGGTCTCATTTTCTCCGAAATCTTTCTAGTGTACGAAGATTATCATCCTTATGATCACAAGAGGTCTCAACTATAAATGCATTCACCGATTCTCCATAAATCATGACTAACAAATAACTAGAAGTGACAATTAAATCCATTAAGACAAAATTCATCCAATCCATCCATCAAAAAATCCATCCAATTCATCCACCACACAAAAAATAAGTTAATGGATTGGATTAAATCCATTCATTTATATGCATGGATGGATTCAATCCATCCATTTATATGCATGAATTGATTCAATCCATCCAACATATTTTAAGGATCCAATGGATTATTTTTATTTTCGTTAGATTTATTTGTTTAAAAATAATTAAAAAACTATATTTTTTTTCTGAAATTTTTTTTTTAATTTTTTTGAAAAAAAATCTGTTTTTTTTTCTGAAAATTTTTTTTTAATTTTTTTGAAAAAAAATCTGTTTTTTTTTCAGAACAAAAAACTGATTTGTTTTTCGAAAAAAAAAACGACTTTTTTTTTTGAAAAAAAAATCAGTTTTTTTTTTCAGAATAAAAAACTGATTTGTTTTTCGAAAAAAAAAATCAATTTTTTTTCTGAAAAAAATCGTTTTTTTTTTCGAAAAAAAACCGACTTTTTTTTCAGAAAAAAATCAATTTTTTTTCTGAAAAAAATCGGTTTTTTTTTTTTCAGAATAAAAAACTGATTTGTTTTTCGAAAAAAAAAACGACTTTTTTTTTCTGAAAAATCGATTTTTTTTTTCAGAATAAAAAACTGATTTGTTTTTCGAAAAAAAATAAAAAAAATTTCTCGAAAAAAAAACCGACTTTTTTTTTTGGAAAAAAATCGGTTTTTTTTAGAATAAAAAACTAATTTGTTTTTGAAAAAAAAAATATTTATTTTTACGAAATTAAAAAAAAAGTTGGATGGATGGATATCCATCCATTAAAAATATGTTAATGGATGGATTGGATGGATTTTATTTTTAATGGATGGATCGGATTGGATAATTTTAATAAAATTTTAGTGGATTTTAATGGACTAATGGATTGTTTTAATCCATCCATTAGCAATCCAATCCATATCCATCCAATCCATCCATTTTGCCACCCCTACAAATAACTAGTTCGTTATTTCTCTCTCACTGTATATATAGGGGAAACACAATTTAAGTAACGGGTTTCAAATTCAATTTCATTTTTCTTTTTTTCCTCATATACTGACTTAGCTTTTGAGTGCTAATCTTGCAGCCCCCCCCCCCACACACACACACACTCCATCGCATCTAAAGGCCATGATTCACCATCATTGTCGTTCAAGATCATCAATTTTCTAATTGTGTTCATTTCTAATTTCCGGACGAAATAGTGGTGTCGTTTGTGGGAATCGACTCCTAATTCATATGATTTCCACGAGTTCACATTCTCTCATAAATTTCATAGTTAGTAACCTCCTCTGATCAATGGAGAAGAAGTATTTGCAACCAAGCACAAGAATCTAACGTGTCTTGATTCGTCCAAGCATAATTTCAATTGTGTTTCCTCAGATTTCCAGATCCTCAGTTCTTACAAATTCTTATGATGGTTGGATCTAAGGCTACCAATCCTCCGTCGTACACGAAGTTGTTGTCACTGCTCTAGCAGCGAACAATCCATTTCATCTTCCTTCGCCACAAAACAAGGTAGGTTCTGAAACGATTGTTCTGTAGCATCCAAATCCAGTTTAAGCTTCATAATCGGCTAGATCTATTCAAGTTACCCTACTAGAGACTCATATTTCACCTCCAATCACCTAACCTGAAATCTTATAGGGTGCCAACTAACCGTTGAACAACATGTTTAACATCGTTCTATTGCAAAATTCACATGCTCTTGAAGTGAGGCTTCTGAAGTTGTTATTCCCTCTGATCAAGCCGCGACGAGTTGGTTTCTAATCTTGCTTGAGGGCCCAATAGAAGTCCCGCCTGAAAGGGTAAATTCCTCACTCGAGGTACTCAATCTTTTGTCATTAAGGTTATGTACTAAGATAAGTGAGAAAATTAGATTCCTCAAGCTAATTAGACTTTCTCCTGAGGGACTTCTCATCCTCTCGGGCGGAATTATTTCCAATAAATCACGCCTAAGTGGTGCGACCTATATCAAGCTCCGGAGACTTGGTTTCTAGTCTTGCTCGAGGGCTTGATAGAAGTCCCGTAAAAAAGGGTAAAACGGCTCGGTGTCTCGTCATCCATGTTATGTACTGAAATAACTGTGAAACTTAGATTCCTCGGGCTAATTAGACTTTTTCCTAAGGGACTTCACTTCCACTCGGGCGAGATTATTTCAAATAAATCACACCTAAGAGGCGCAACCTATATTAAGCTCCAAAAAATTAGTTTCCAATCTTGCTCGAGAGCTCGATAGAAGTCTCGCCTGAAAAGGTAAAACGCCTAGCTTAAAGGACTTAACGTCTCATGAGCTGGGTTGCGCATTATAGTGCCTAGAGAGCTTAGACTCTTAAGGTCAACTAAAACCTCGCGAGGGGAAACACATGTTATCGGGATACTCTCATTAGTTGTAGGTGAAAAACACGTTGCCTTCTGTCGAAGGCCTCGTTCTTGAGGGACTATGTAGTGTTATAATTGTAAAAGGCCTTGTCGAGGGCGATGCCCTGGGATTGCCCTAGGAGAGGCGTCAATGAAAGGTCACCTAGGAGTAGGTATCTCCCCGCCCTTGAGTTTTACCTCTTCTATACAAAGAAAACATAGGATAGGACATGTCTTGGATAAAGAAAAAGTTAGGGTCGTTACTAACTCACGCCCCTCGGAAATAGGGATTTGATTGTTCACTATTTTAACTAGGTGGGCGGTGGCCTTTTTCGAGGAAATTCTAGGTTCTAGAGACCTCTACAAATACATTATTCCTCAGGGGAAATGGAAAGACTCCTAGTCATACACACTCACTATAACTCAAAGAGCATCACTCTCATTACTGCCTTAACACACGTGATCAACCAAATCGCACGCCCGCAGTCTTAGTAGTGCCAACCACCAATAGAGTCTCTCACCTCACGTGAGAGGGTCCCTTAAAAATCCTAAAACACCATCGTACAAGGCTTCTCGCCATCGTGAGAAAGCCCTCTCCAAAAAATATGTTATACACCTACTAAGGCCTATGAATCTCTCTGCTCTTGCAAAGGAAACACACACACCTAAATTTTTTTACCAGTACACTAGTTGAGATTTATACAATTAAAACAATGACGGTAAAAATATATGTCATTGATGCAAATAAGATAAATATATATATCTATAGAAAAATATACTACTAATCTAAATACAATAAAATATAAGTCTCTTGCAAATTAATTTTAAATGTTTCCACATTTATGAGTGAATCTTAATTTTTTTTTGTTAGCTTTAGTGAATGAAAGATAATGAAATATCAATAGTGTCTACTTTCTCATCAGATCGAAAATAGATTATCATTTTTGTGTAATTGATACAAATACAGTAAAATACACGAAAGAGTGAACAACAGATTCTATTTTAGGTCGGTCAAAAGCCCAAAAAGCTAAGGTCTAAATTGATTCCATTCCACTATAAATGACCCAAGGTATAAAGTCATGTCATGCGAAAAGTAAGGTATACTTTCTAATCTCCATTTTTTACTACACTCAGCTTGAATTCTGAATTAACTTAGGCGTTGTTGGAGTGTTAACCTTGCAGGTCCACCCCTACACCGACGTATTGGGGATCAACACCACTAATTTAGGATTCCTCATCACCAAATTACATCTATTTTTGATTCCAAAACATAATATTTTAGACGATGGCAACGACCTAGAAGATGTAAGAACACAGATTGTTTCTTAGTAATATCCTGATAATTACCCAACCAGACTCTAACTCTTGAAGCAAATTGTACTCTGAGTCTAAACGCAAAACCAGACTCTGTGTTTGAAAGAAGTCATCAGACTCTGTGTTTGAAAGAAGTCATCAGACTCTAATTAACCAGACTCTGTGTTTGAAAGAAGTCATCAGATTCTGATTCTGAAATACACTCAAGCAAAAAGGGAAGTATTCTTTTCCTTAGAGTATTCATTTCAGGGGGAGATTCTTAATCTCAGGGGGAGTTATAATTATTGTTTTTTTTATTGAACAAAATTTCTCATGTTTTGTCATCATCAAAAAGGGGGAGATTGTAAGAACACAGATTGTTTCTTAGTAATATCTTTATGTTTTGATGATAACTCTTATGAAATTTTGTAT